AAATTACTTAACATTTAAATATTTTTTGTTAATATATAATTTATTATAAAATAATTTTAACAATCTTAATGTGATTATTTAACGATTTGTTGAACCATGTTAACTAACCGAGTCTAGATGGAGGGTTAACTGCGTTATTATAATGTTATCTACTGCGTTACTAGACATCGTCATCTGCGTTACTAGACACTATCACCTGACTACTGCGTTACTAGACATCGTCATCTGCGTTACTAGACACTATCACCTGACTACTGCGTTACTAGACATCGTCATCTGCGTTACTAGACACTATCACCTGACTACTGCGTTACTAGGCATCGTCACCTAACTAATGCGTTACTAGGCATCGTCACCTGACTACTGCGTTACTAGGCATCGTCACCTGACTACTGCGTTACTAGGCATCGTCACCTGACTACTGCGTTACTAGGCATCGTCACCTGACTACTGCGTTACTAGGCATCGTCACCTAACTACTGCGTTACTAGGCATCGTCACCTGACTACTGCGTTACTAGACATTATCACACTATCACACTACTACTTCGTTAATAGGCATCATCACTTACTAGTACGTTACTGGGCACCCCTCAACGTCCTGCGTTACTGGGCACCCCTCAACGTCCTGCGTTACTGGGCACCCCTCAACGTCCTGCGTTACTGGGCACCCCTCAACGTCCTGCGTTACTGGCACCCCTCAACGTACTGCGTTACTGGGCACCCCTCAACGTACTGCGTTACTGGGCACCCCTCAACGTCCTGCGTTACTGGGCACCCCTCAACGTACTGCGTTACTGGGCACCCCTCAACGTACTGCGTTACTGGGCACCCCTCAACGTACTGCGTTACTGGGCACCACCCCTCAACGTACTGCGTTACTGGGCACCCCTCAACGTACTGCGTTACTGGGCACCCCTCAACGTACTGCGTTACTGGGCACCCCTCACGTACTGCGTTACTGAGCACTACCCTCAACGTACTGCGTTACTGGGCACCCCTCAACGTACTGCGTTACTTGGCACCCTCAACGTACTGCGTTACTGGGCACCCCTACGTACTGCGTTACTGGGCATCCCTCAACCGTACTGCGTTACTGGCACCCCCAACGTACTGCGTTACTGGGCACCCCTCAACGTACTGCGTTACTGGGCACCCCTCAACTACTGCGTTACTGGCACGCCCTCAACGTACTGCGTTACTGGGCACCCCTCAACGTACTGCGTTATAGGGCACCCTCAACGTACTGCGTTACTGGGCACCCCTCAACGTACTTCGTTACTGGGCACACCCTCAACGTACTGCGTTACTGGGCACCCCTCAACGTACTGCGTTACTGGGCACCCCTCAACGTACTGCGTTACTTGGCACCCCTCAACGTACTGCGTTACTGGGCACCCCTCAACGTACTGCGTTACTGAGCACCCCTCAACGTACTGCGTTACTGGGCACCCCTCAACGTACTGCGTTACTGGGCACCCCTCAACGTACTGCGTTACTGGGCACCCCTCAACGTCCTGCGTTACTGGGCACCCCTCAACGTACTGCGTTACTGGGCACCCCTCAACGTACTGCGTTACTGAGCACCCCTCAACGTACTGCGTTACTGGGCACCCCTCAACGTACTGCGTTACTGGGCACCCCTCAACGTACTGCGTTACTGGGCACCCCTCAACGTACTGCGTTACTTGGCACCCTCAACGTACTGCGTTACTGGGCACCCCTCAACGTACTGCTTACTGGGCACCCTCAACGTACTGCGTTACTGGGCACCCCTCAACGTACTGCGTTACTGGGCACCCCTCAACGTACTGCGTTACTGGGCACCCCTCAACGTACTGCGTTACTGGGCACCCCTCAACGTACTGCGTTACTGGGCACCCCTCAACGTACTGCGTTACTGGGCACCCCTCAACGTACTGCGTTACTGGGCACCCCTCAACGTACTGCGTTACGGGAGCACCCCTCAACGTACTGCGTTACTGGGCACCCCTCAACGTACTGCGTTACTGGGCACCCCTCAACGTACTGCGTTACTTGGCACCCCTCAACGTACTGCGTTACTGGCACCCCTCAACGTACTGCGTTACTGGGCACCCCTCAACGTACTGCGTTACTGGGCACCCCTCAACGTACTGCGTTACTGGGCACCCCTCAACGTACTGCGTTAGTAAACTTTCCGTAACGTACATGGTCGTACTAGTGTCATCTCTCCATCAAAACTGATTACCTCTCACTGAGCCAAGAGAATGAAGTAACGTAATAGGTCATAGTTAATGACCTGGGGAGTAAAGGAGGCGAGTGGTGAGACTGGTCGGCTCACAACGGAAAAGTAACGGGTTCGATACCCATGCAGGGTAAACTTATAGGCAATTTTCCATAAATTCCTGCTCACCTGGATGTAAAAACTGGTACTAGTATCTCCTTACTGTTGTAATAGTATTAGTAATTTAAATATTTTTTAATTGTTATTGGTTGCAGGTGACCATGGGTACCAGAGAGGCAGCTTACGGCAGCTGGGCATCACCGGTGACCGCTGAGGTGGCCACGATGGCCAGTAATGAGGTGGTGGAGGCGCCTCAGGTTGACCCTGTGACAGGTAAGTTAGGTTGACCCCCCTGTGAGAGGCGAGTCAGGTCGACGTCCCTCTGACAGGGGAGTCAGGTCGACGTCCCTCTGACAGGGGAGTCAGGTCGACGTCCCTCTGACAGGGGGATCAGGTCGACGTCCCTCTGACAGGGGAGTCAGGTCAACGTCCCTCTGACGGGCGAGTCAGGTCGACGTCCCTCTGACGGGCGAGTCAGGTCGACGTCCCTCTGACGGGCGAGTCAGGTCGACGTCCCTCTGACGGGCGAGTCAGGTCGACGTCCCTCTGACGGGCGAGTCAGGTCGACGTCCCTCTGACAGGGGAGTCAGGTCGACGTCCCTCTGACAGGGGAGTCAGGTCGACGTTCCTCTGACAGGCGAGTCAGGTCGACGTCCCTCTGACGGGCGAGTCAGGTCGACGTTCCCTCTGACGGGCGAGTCAGGTCGACGTCCTCTGACGGGCGAGTCAGGTCGACGTTCCTCTGACGGGCGAGTCAGGTCGACGTCCCTCTGACGGGCGAGTCAGGGTGACGTCCCTCTGACGGGCGAGTCAGGTCGGACGTCCCTCTGACAGGGGAGTCAGGTCAACGTCCCTCTGACAGGGGAGTCAGGTCAACGTCCCTCTGACAGGGGGGTCAGGTCGACGTCCCTCTGACAGGGGGGTCAGGTCGACGTCCCTCTGACAGGGGGGTCAGGTCGACGTCCCTCTGACAGGGGAGTCAGGTCAACGTCCCTCTGACAGGGGGGTCAGGTCGACGTCCCTCTGACAGGGGAGTCAAGGTCCAAACGTCTCTCTGACAGGGGGGCAGGTCGACGTCCCTCTGACAGGGGGGTTCAGGTCGACGTCCCTCTGAAGGGAAGTCAGTCAACGTCCCTCTGACAGGGGGGTCAGGTCAACGTCCCTCTGACAGGGGGGTCAGGTGGCTCCTCTCACACTTTCCTGGGCCTCCCGTCTGGGTTGGCAATATTATTAATAATATAATTCTCAGTTTAAGATTTCATTATTACTGTTATTATCATTATTTCATTATTTTAATTATTGCTATTATTTTGTCTTTAAATTATGGAAACTAAATGGCTATGTATTAATAACAAAATAATGGCATTACGAATTTCGAAGAATAATGAAAATATCTGTCCATATAAAGATTATGTTGATGTTTACACTCGGGATGTTTATACTCGGGATGTTTATACTCGGGATGTTTATACTCGGGATGTTTATACTCGGGATGTTTACACTCGGGATGTTTACACTCGGGATGTTTATACTCGGGATGTTTACACTCGGGATGTTTACACTCGGGATGTTTATACTCGGGATGTTTATACTCGGGATGTTTATACTCGGGATGTTTATACTCGGGATGTTTATACTCGGGATGTTTACACTCGGGATGTTTATACTCGGGATGTTTACTCGGGATGTTTACACTCGGGGTGTTTATACTCGGGATGTTTATACTCGGGATGTTTATACTCGGGATGTTTACACTCGGGATGTTTATACTCGATGTTTAGACTCGGGATGTTTAGACTCGGGATGTTTACTCTCGGGATGTTTGCACTCGGGATGTTTACACTCGGGATGTTTGCACTCGGGATGTTTATACTCGGGATGTTTATGCTCGATGTTTATACTCGATGTTTACACTCGGGATGTTTACACTCGGGATGTTTATACTCAGGATGTTTATAATCAGGATGTTTATACTCAGGATGTTTACACTCAGGATGTTTACACTCAGGATGTTTACACTCGGGATGTTTATACTCAGGATGTTTATAATCAGGATGTTTATACTCAGGATGTTTACACTCAGGGTGTTTACACTCAGGATGTGTGTTCTGGTGCGAGAGGCTGTGCAAGGAGGCTGGCAACACTGCAGTCTTCCACTTCAACCCAGGTGCGTCAGATAGAAGGATAAGTTGATGGGATTGACGGGAGAACTGAGTGCGATGGACATTACCATCGCAGTTCAATGAGGAAAAGGAGGAACTTACGATAGCTGGGTAGGAGTGAAGTGCAGAGACGATCTCTTAGTAACAGTTTTTGAACTATATATATATTATATATATATATATAATATATATATATATATATATATATATATATATATATATTTCTTAGCAACTGTGGATTGGTTATATAGTTTCGAAATTTTAAATAGGTTGCAAGCACTTACATTCCTTATAGACCAATATTTTTCATTATTCTCTCTCATTTCTCTCTCTCTCTCTCTCTCTCTCTCTCTCTCTCTCTCTCTCTCTCTCTCTCTCTCTCTCTCTCTCTCTCTCTCTCTCTCTCTCTCTCTCTCTCTCAATAATGAACTGATATTCCTAACGAAATCTTGGCTTTTAGACACCGGAGAAATCGTGCGGTGGACTAATCAAGGGTTCGACGTGAGGACCAAGGTTCATGAATACGGTGGAGGAGCCTTTACGGTGTACGACAACACTATATACTTCGCCCACAGCGGCGACGGTGCCATCTACCGGCAGGATGGTCCACAGGTGGCACCAACCCGCCTCACACGCTCTCACAACAGAAGATACACAGATGGCTCTTATTGCCCTTTGGTAACTGTCCATTTTTCTAATATCTGTCGTTCCAATATATGCTTATCCAATACCTGCAGTTCTAATGTCGTGCCGAATAGGTAAAATTTGCGATTTTGGCTTAAATAGCAACACTCTTCTTTCCGAATAAGGAAAGCGAAAATTTGTGTACGCAATAATTTCGCAAAAACCATTCTGAACCTAATGAAAAAAACATATTTCCTTGTGTTTATCATTAAATTATTGTAAAATGATCTAAAATATATAATTTCGCTTATTATAATAAGGTTAGGTAAGTTTTCTAAGGTTCTTTTGGTAAAAAGTTATTAATTTTTACATTAATATAAATGAAAAAATATATCTTTAAGCGTATAAGAGAAAATTTTAGAAAGGACTTAATTTTAAGTGAGTTCTTGCTAATAGGCCGTTTTTACCTATTAGGCACGACACTAATACCTGGATTTCCAGTACTTGGATTTCCAGTACCTGGATTTCCAGTACTTGGATTTCCAGTACCTGGATTTCCAGTACCTGGATTTCCAGTACCTGGATTTCCAGTACTTGGATTTCCAGTACCTGGATTTCCAGTACTTGGATTTCCAGTACCTGGATTTCCAGTACTTGGATTTCCAGTACTTGGATTTCCAGTACTTGGATTTCCAGTACTTGGATTTCCAGTACTTGGATTTCCAGTACTTGGATTTCCAGTACTTGGATTTCCAGTACCTGGATTTCCAGTACTTGGATTTCCAGTACCTGGATTTCCAGTACTTGGATTTCCAGTACCTGGATATCCAGTACCTGGATTTCCAGTACCTGGATTTCCAGTACCTGGATTTCCAGTGCTTGGATTTCCAGTACCTGGATTTCCAGTGCTTGGATTTCCAGTACTTGGATTTCCAGTACCTGGATTTCCAGTACTTGGATTTCCAGTACCTGGATTTTCAGTACTTGGATTTCCAGTACCTGGATTTTCAGTACTTGGATTTCCAGTACCTGGATTTTCAGTACTTGGATTTCCAGTACCTGGATTTTCAGTACTTGGATTTCCAGTACCTGGATTTCCAGTACTTGGATTTCCAGTACCTGGATTTCCAGTACTTGGATTTCCAGTACCTGGATTTCCAGTACTTGGATTTCCAGTACCTGGATTTTCAGTACTTGGATTTCCAGTACCTGGATTTTCAGTACTTGGATTTCCAGTACCTGGATTTTCAGTACTTGGATTTCCAGTACCTGGATTTTCAGTACTTGGATTTCCAGTACCTGGATTTCCAGTACTTGGATTTCCAGTACCTGGATTTCCAGTACTTGGATTTCCAGTACCTGGATTTCCAGTACTTGGATTTCCAGTACCTGGATTTCCAGTACTTGGATTTCCAGTACCTGGATTTCCAGTACTTGGATTTCCAGTTACCTGGATTTCCAGTACTTGGATTTCCAGTACCTGGATTTCCAGTACCTGGATTTCCAGTACCTGGATTTCCAGTACCTGGATTTCCAGTACCTGGATTTCCAGTACCTGGGTTTCCAGTACCTGGATTTCCAGTACTTGGATTTCCAGTACCTGGATTTCCAGTACTTGGATTTCCAGTACCTGGATTTCCAGTACTTGAATTTCCAGTACCTGGATTTCCAGTACTTGAATTTCCAGTACCTGGATTTCCAGTACTGGATTTCCAGTACTTGGATTTCCAGTACCTGGATTTCCAGTACCTGGATTTCCAAAACCTGTAGTTCCAATACCAACATTTCCAATCAGTGGCGCAGCCAGGATTTCAATCTTGTGAGGGGACTTAAAAAAATCACACGCTGGAAAAAAAATCGAAGAATCCTTCTTTTTTTTTAAATATATTTTTTCAGTATACATGTGGAAGCTCCAAAATTATTATTAATGTTCTCCTGGTCACTGATCAATATAACAGTAAAAAAATTTCTTCAGATGAAAAAAATGTAAATACATCTGGGGAGGTATTCTTTAGTTTCTTCAGCTTCTCCTCTCTCCCCTCTCCTGCGTCCCCTCTTCCACTTCCCCTCCCCCTAATCCCTCCCCCTCACTTGTACATATACTCTGTATACATTTCATGTTGGCATAATGTGATTCATTCACTTGGATTGTAAAGTTCAACTCAAAAGTGGATGGACCACTTATCTTCTTGTCCTCCTCTCCCATCCTTCCATACCTAGTCCATCTCTTTCTGTCCATCCCCCGTCCTCCTCTCGTTTCCCTCTCTTTAGCAAGCCTCTGGCCAAGGAATCTAACTTATTTTGGATACATGTGTTAGCCTGTAGGACGTCATGCCCGCGACCATTTCGAAATTTGAGCAGCGAAATTATTGTTAATCGTATATGCCATGAATATTTTAATGTGTCCGAGAATATTTTAGTGTTCTGGTACCTTTGGCATTCATGTCATAGGTTGGCCAGCACTACAGTGTTTTGTTACGAGCTTGTAATCCCTCGGGCGAGCCCCAGATTCTGTTTACACAAGTTATTACGTATTTCTTGAATACATTTCCGCATGCTAGTGGCTTTGTGCCTATCAATATTTTACTATATGTAAAGCTACACTTTGTATATTGCAGAAAGAAATAGTTTGTAAGTAGTTAAATAAAATCACAAGTGCAACACCTGGATATCTTCATTGCCAAGGCGTTTCGCCCTGAAGAAACCTGATTTGCTGGGTAAACATTTCGTTCACGAAATCGCCAATAAAATAATTTCTACGCAGATGGATGCCATTGTGTATGTAGTGGAGGACCACGAAGTGGTGAAGCAGGGCAAGGCTGTGGAGCCGAGTAACACATTGGTGCTGCTGGATGCCAAGACTGGTGAGGAGACACTGCTGGCCAGTGATGCTGACTTCTTTGCCGCACCCTCAGTCTCCCCTGATGGCACTCTCCTCGCCTGGATACAGTGGCACCACCCGCAGATGGTATGGCTTCTGGTGTGCCTTGTTTTATGCGGAATGAAACACGGAGGAAATATGTAATTGGTTTGTTTTTTCATTATCTTGTTTCTGAAGATGTTGAGTGGATCACACGAAAGAACTAAAGTATATATATTTATGATGAACTGTAAGGTTCCAGAATATCTAATCTCCCACATGAAGGTATAATCGGCCTATCTTTTCATATTTATAACACGTACAACATAATTACAGAGACGTGTGTGCCTATGTTTATATCTCTCATTGTTTATATACACTGATATGTGTGCCTCTCAGCGTATATACACTGAAAGTAAACTTTAATCAAAGGGTTAAAATATTCCTCATTGTTGTAGAATATATGACAAGCAACTTTAATGATACCTTTTGTAGTCGATAGGTGTTAAACCCAGTTAACCATATCAGTGATTCCTTGTGACGTCACAGCCATGGTGGAACACCCAGCTGTGTGTGGCCAAAATCAACGACCAGAAACAAGTCAACATCATCATTACCCGTCAAAACAGGAGGTCAGTGTCTGCTGCTACTATTCTCAAGCATTGCATTGTCTTCGTAACATCTATATAGCGTAATGTCAATAATGTCGTAATATCTCGTAATAAAAGTATTTTACTTACCTTAAGAGAGCGTTAGAAATCTATTGTAACAGAATAGATTTAATTCCCTTAATTTTATTCGCCCTATGCTTTATTATTCAGCAATATGATGCCCTCGTTTGACCGGGGCAACAGCCTGTACTACGTGCATGACCAGACAGGCTGGTGGAACTTGTACAAGATCACTGATCTCAAGGTGGAAGTGAACCTGACACCAGAGTCCAAGGAGGTGGGCTGGCCCATGTGGCAGTGAGTATAAATATTATAAATATTCAATTTATTCTAGTTCAGTTTGCAATTGATGTATCACTGGGGGTTCTAAAAGGATGCCACGTCCCGTAAAGTTTTTTTTTTACTTCTAAGATCTTCGGTCATTTTCCAATTAGTTTTGTATAGAGCGAAACGTTGTCACAATAGAAGCCTTTTCTGCAACGTTTCTTGTATTCACGCTTTAAGAACTGGTGGATCAGTAAGCCAGCGGAAGGCCTCCGTAAGATGACCAAAACCTCCAGCCGCGGGTCAGCATATGACTAAGACCCGCGTCAGGAAACACTTGTTCTGTTTACTGACAAACTTACCTAACCTAAGGCGTCCTGAGCCTTCAGTGTCCCTTAACAACCTGAATTTCAGCACCCATATCCAACACATAACCAAAAAAGTATCCAAAACGGTTGGGATCCTCTCCAAGATACGATACTACGTGCCGCAAAATGCCCTTCTCACACTATACCACTCACTTATTTATCCATACCTCACCTATGCTATTCGTGCTTGGGGATCAACTGCAGCAACACGCCTAAAGCCAATAACCCAACAAAAAGCTGCAGTAAGAATAATCACTAAATCCTATCCCTGGCAACACCCCCCCCCCACTCTTCATAGATCTAAACTTACTCCCTGTTCAGTACATCCACACTTACTACTGTGCAATCTACATCTACAGGACCTTAAACTCTAATATCAACCTTGACCTAAAACGCTTTCTTGATAGTTGTGACAGAACCCACAGGCATAACACCAGACACAAACATCTCTACGACATTCCCCGAGTCCGACTAAACCTTTACAAAAACTCAATGTATGTCAAAGGCCCTAAAATCTGGAACACCCTACCTGAGAACTCTAGAACTGCAGACACATTCATCACCTTCAAAACTACCATTAGAAAACATCTTATCTCCCTGATACACCCCGTCAACTAACTACACGAATACCACCTGGTGGTTCACACTTACACTCACTCACCCATTTGACCATAAACAGAAATATTAATCTCAATCTTAAAATAATGAATCCTGTGATACTCCAATACTGAAACTATGTACTGTGCCAAAACAAAAGCATTCACATTTCTAAACTCACAAACTAGTATTTAGTCACTTAGCCATAATACCAACTTACCTCATAATTTGTAATATTTTAAAATAAAGAATTAAACTAAGTCTGCCCGAAATGCCTAGCCATGCTAGGCGTTCTAGTGGTACACTCTGTAATCATTATTTAACTACATGTAAACCACACAATAACCAAATTCTGTAAATTCAACATTGTAATCCTTATAGAGAATAAACTTTGAATTGAATTGAACACATTGTTCAATTCATCTCAACAGAACACGACACTTATGTTCAAAAATGGTATAAAATACAAACCAGTTGATTAAGACACATGTGCAACAGTTTGGGATGTTTATTGTTGAAACGTTTGGCCTACACAGTAGGCTTCTTCAGTCAAAAACAGAGACAGCAGGTGTAATAGAGAAATGAAGATGTAATCAGTCCATCAACCTTGGAGATACGAGGTGGTCAATCCATGGTCTGGAACAAGGTGATCAGTCCCTCAGCCTGGATAAGAGTTCAGTTCCATGGTCTGGAACAAGGTGATCAGTCCCTCAGCCTGGATAAGAGTTCAGTTCCATGGTCTGGAACAAGGTGATCAGTCCCTCAGCCTGGAGAAGAGTTCAGCTCCATGGTCTGGAACGCTGTCCAACGATATCCAACAGTTACACATGTCAACAGAGCAAGTCACCCCCCACTTCACATACACTCTTCAACTATGTCCCTTGAAGGAGAGTGCTACGATGCTGGCGAAGGTCGCTACATGCGCCGCGAAGGTCACTTGATCCAAAGAATTGGAGTAACCCTCCCCTTCCTTGAGTCATATCCGATTACCGCTTATTACAAAGGCACTCCATGACTCTTACAAGATCTACGCTACCCCATGACTCGTACAAGCAGACTCTGTGAATCCTTAAATGACATCAGTGTGCTACATCAGGTATGACATCTTCACTCCTCTATCGTCTTCCAAGTCTGCCGAGATGTAAAAGTCCTGCTTACTAAGAACTACGTAGCAGAGCCGCCCGGACAGGAAGCAACTTCAGAATGACTTTATTAGTTACACTTACAGCTGGTAGACTGGTTATAAATGACCATAATTTTTAAAGGGGTGGACCGGTAAGCCAGCGGAAGGCCTCGGTCAGATGACCAAAAGCTCCAAAGGCGGGTCATCATCTGACTAAGACCCGCGTCAGGAAACATTTGTCCTGTTTCCTGACGAACCTTACCTAACCTAACCTAACTTACAGCTGGTTCGCGTGATTGTTACTGAGTGAAAGAAACATTACCGTACGGCTATTTATGTAGCTTGGCTGATGATACATAAGATTTATTATATTCACAGATTCGGTTGGAGAGCCTACGCTGTTAATCCCAAGACTGATAATGAAGTGGTGGCCGTTGCTTCCCATGTGAGTATGTCAAGTTGTGTAGCCCAACTGTCCATTGTAATTATATATATATATATATATATATATATAATTTATATATATATATATATATATATATATATATATATATATATATATATATATATATAATATATATATATATATATTATATATTTCTTTCTTTCAACACACCGGCCGTATCCCACCGAGGCAGGGAGGCCTAAAAGGAAAAACGAAAGTTTCTCCTTTTAAATTTAGTAATAAATACAAGAGAAGGGGTTACTAGCCCCTTGCTCCCGGCATTTTAGTCGCCTCTTACGACACGCATGGCTTACGGAGGAAGAATTCTGTTCCAATTCCCCATGAAGATAACAGGAAATGAACAAGATCTAGTAAGAAAATAAAAGAAAACCCAGAGGGGTGAATATATATATATATATATATATATATATATATATATATATATATATATATATATATATATATATATATATATAATATATATATATATATATGCATGCATGCATGCTTGTAAATGTATGGTAGTGTGACCTAAGTGTAAGACGAAGTAGCAAGACATACCTGAAATCTTGCATGTTTATGAGACAAAAAAGACACCAGCAATCCTACCATCATGTAAAACAATTACAGGTTTCCGTTTCACAATCACTTGACAGGACGGTAGTACCTCCCTGGGCGGTTGCTGTCTACCAACCTACTACCTAGGATATATATATATATATATATATATGTCGTGCCGAATATGTAAAACTGGTCAATTAGCAAGAACTCATTTAAAATTAAGTCCTTTCTAAACTTTTCTCTTATACGTTTAAATATATATTTTTTTCATTAATGTTGATGTAAAAATTTATAATTTTGCACCAAAAGAATCTTAGAAAACTTACCTAACCTTATTATAACAAGAGCAATTTATTTTAGCCTAACCCAACTAAGTATATTTTAGATTTGTTTACAATAATTTAATACTAAACAAACACAGTGAAATATATTTTTTTCGTTAGGCTCAGAATGATTTTGGCGAAATTATTGCATACACCAATTTTCACTTGTCCTATATGGCAAGATGAACGTTGCTATTTAAGCCAAGATCGCAAATTCTGCCTATTCGGCACGACATATATATATAAATAATATATATATATAAAATATATATATATATATATATATATATATAATATATATATATATATATATATATATATAAACAGTTCTAGAGGTGGTACCTCCCTATAATATATATATATATATATAATATATATATATATATTATATATATATATATATATATATATATATAAAATCATCAAACTAGCCGTATCCCACCGAGGCAGGGTGGCCCAAAAAGAAAAAAAATCCCCAAAAAGAAAATACTTTCAACATTCAACACTTTCACCACACTCACACATAATCACTGTTTTTGCAGAGGTGCTCAGAATACAACAGTTTAGAAGCATATACATATAAAGATACAAAACATATCCCTCCAAACTGCTAATATCTCGAACCCCTCCTTTAGAGTGCAGGCATTGTACTTCCCACCTCCAGGACTCAAGTCCGGCTATATAAAAATAACCGGTTTCCCTGAATCCCTTCACTAAATATTACCCTTCTCACACTCCAACAGCTCGTCAGGTCCCAAAAACCATTCGTCTCCATTCACTCCTAACATGCTCACGCACGCTTGCTGGAAGTCCAAGCCCCTCGCCTACAGAACCTCCTTTACCCCCTCTCTCCAACCCTGTCGAGGACAACCCCTACCCCGCCTTCCTTCCCCGATAGATTTATACGCTTTCCATATCATTCTACTTTGATCCATTCTCTCTAAATGACCAAACCACTTCAACAACCCCTCTTCAGCCCTCTGACTAATACTTTTGTTAACTCCACACCTTTTAATTTCCACATTCCGAATTTTCTGCATAATATTTACACCACACATTGCCCTTAGACAGGACATCTCCACTGCCTCCAACCGTCTCCTCGCTGCTGCACTCACAACTCGTGCTTCACACCCATATAAGAGTGTTGGTACTACTGTACTTTCATACATTCCCTTCTTTGCCTCCATAGATAACTTTCTTTGTCTCCACATACCTCAACGCACCACTCGCTTTTTTTCCCTCATCAATTCTATGATTAACCTCATCCTTCATAAATCCATCCGCTGACACGTCAACTCTCTAGTATCTGAAAACATTCACTTCTTCCATATTCCTCTTCTCCAATATGATATCCAATTTTTCTTTATCTAAACCATTTGATACCCTCATCACCGTATTCTTTTCTATGTTCACTTTCAACTTTCTACCTTTACACACACTCCCAAGCTCATCCACTAACCTTTGCAATTTTTCTTTAGAATCTCCCATAAGCACAGTATCATCAGCAAAAAGCAACTGTGTCAATTCCCATTTTGTATTTGATTCCCCATAATTTATTCCCACCCCTCTCCCGAACACCCTAGCATTTACTTCTTTTACAACCCCATCTATAAATATATTAAACAACCATGGTGACATTACACATCCCTGTCTAAGACCTACTTTTACCGGGAAGTATTCTCCCTCTCTTCTACACACCCTAACTAATAAAGGGATCTTCTTTCATTCAATTAGAGGTATTCTCTGATCAAGGACCAATGAGCATCAAAGTACTTAGTCTGTAGAGAAGAAAAAAACGCAAATTCACTTATATTTGCAGGAGTTGATGGTGGTGGAGATAGAGAGCCACACGAGGAGGAGTCTACCTACTGGATACGCCGTCCACCTTCATGGAGTTGTTTACTCCAAGGATGGCACTCAGGTAAAGCCATCACGTCTGTCTTGCAGAGTGTGTGTAGCGCATCACACCGATAAATATTACTTGTTGTGTGTATGTATGTGTGTACTCACCTAATTGTGATTGCAGGGGTCGAGACTCTGCTCCTGGTGTGTGTGTGCGTGCGTGTGTGTGCGCGTGCGTGTGTGCGTGTGTGTGCGTGTGTGTGTGCGTGTGTGTGTGCGTGTGTGTGTGCGCTCCACATCATGCACGGCGTAGTTATCATGCACCAACTAAGGCCAGACGAGACTACGGAGTCGTGTAAGAGAACGCGCGCGCGTGTGTGTACTCGCCTAATTGTACTCACCTAATTGTGGTTGCAGGGGTCGATACTCAGCTCCTGGCTCCGCCTCTTCACTGATCGCTACTAGGTCCTCTGCTTACTAAGCTTCGTCATACCTCGTCTTAAAACTATATATGGTTCCTGCCTCCACTACGTCACTTGCTAGGCTATTCCACTTCCTGACGACTCTATGACTGAAGAAATACTTCCTAAAATCCCTGTGACTCGTCTGAGTCTTCAGCTTCCAATTGTGACCCCTTGTTTCTGTGTCCCCTCTCTGGAACATCCTGTCTCTGTCCACCTTGTCTATTCCCCGCAGTATCTTGTCCTCCAGTGTCGTCAGTCTGATTTCTCTCAACCTTTCGTTGTATGACATTCCCCTGAGCTCTGGAATTAGCCTTGTTGAAAACCTTTGTACTTTCTCTAACTTCTTGACGTGTTTGACCAGGTGTGGGTTTGACTGGTGCTGCATACTCCAGTATGGGCCTAACGTACACAGTGTACAGTGTCTTGAACGATTCCTTATTAAAGTATCGGAACGCTATTCTCAGCTTTGCCAGGCGCCCACATGCTGCAGCAGTTATCTGGTTGATGTGTGCCTCTGGTGACATGCTCGGTGTTATGGTCACCCCACGATCTTTCTCCCTGAGTGAGGTCTGTAGTCTTTGTCCACCTAGCCTATACTCTGTCTGCGGTCTTCTTTGCCCTTCCCCAATCTTCATGACTTTGCATTTGGCAGGGTTGAATTTGAGAAGCCATTTTCTGGACCACGTGTCCAGCCTGTCCAGGTCTCTTTGTGGTCCTGCCTCATCCTCATCCGATTTAATTCTTCTCATCAACTTCACATCATCTGCGAATCAGGGACACTTCAGAGTCTATCCTTTCCATCATGTCATTCACATATATCAAGAATAGCACTGGTCCTAGAACTGACCCCTGTGGGATCCCACTTGTCACAGGCACCCACTGTGATGCCTCTTCACGTACCATGACTCGTTGTTGCCTCCCTGACAAGTATTCTCTGATCCATTGCAGTGCCGTTCCTATTATATGCGCCTGAACCTCCAGCTTCTGCACTAACCTCTTGTGAGGAACTCTGTCGAAGGCCTTTCTGCAGTCCAGGAAAATGCAATCAACCCACCCCTCTCTCTCATGTCTTACTTCTGTTACCTTGTCGTAAAACTCCAGAAGGTTTGTGACACAGGATTTGCCTTCCATGAATCCATGCTGGTTGTCATTTATAATCTTGTTCCATTCCAGGTGTTCCACCACTTTCCTGATAATCTTCTCCATGACTTCACATACTATACACGTCAGAGACACTGGTCTGTAGTTTAGTGCCTCGTTTCTGTCTCCTTTCTTAAAAATGGGGACTACATTTGCAGTCTTCCATATCTCGGGTAGCTGCCCAGTTTCAAGGAATGTGTTGAAGATTGTGCTTAGGGGCACACACAGCATCTCTGCTCCTTCTCTAAGGACCCACGGGGAGATGGTGTCCGGTCCCATCGCCTCTGAGGTATCAAGGTCACTTAGCAGCTTCTGCACCTCCTCCATTGTTCGTATGTCATCCAACACTTGTTGGCATGTTCCCTGTTGATGCTCCCTTCTGTGCTCTCTTCCCAGAGCCCTTCCTGTTTCTACTGTAAAAACTTCCTTAAATCTCCTGTTTAGCTCCTCACCTCCTGATCGTTTCTTGTGAGTTTTCCCCCTTCTGTCCTCAGTCTGATCACCTGGTCTTTGACTGTTGTCTTCCTCCTGATGTGGCTATACAACAGTTTCGGGTCAGTCTTGACTTTCGATGCTATATTATTTTCGTACTGTCGCTGGGCCTTCCTCCTTACCTGTGCATACTCGTTCCTGGCTCTGCGACTAATCTCCCTATTTTCATGTGTTCTATGCCTTCTGTACTTTTTCCTTTTTCTATAGCACTTAGTCTTTGCCTCCTTACACAATCGGGTAAACCAGGGACTCGTTCTGGTCTTCCCATTGTTTCTGGTGCCCTTCGGAATAAACCTTTCCTCTTCCTCCTTGCATTTTGTTGTTACGTATTCCATCATTTCGTTTACTGGCTTTCCTACCAGTTCTCTGTCCCACTGAACCTCCTGCAGGAAGTTCCTCAAACCTATGTAGTCCCCTCTTTTATAGTCTGGCTTTTCCCATTCAACTCCTGTTACTCTCTCCACTTGTAACTCTACTATGTATTCAAAGCACAGAACCACGTGTCACTAGCTCCTAGGGACCTCTCATATGTGATGTCCTCTATGTCTGAACTGCCCAGGGTGAGCACAAGGTCCAGTCTTGCTGGTTCGTCGTCCTCTCTCACTCTGGTAGTGTCCTTAACATGTTGGTGCATGAGGTTTTCCAGCACCACATCCAACATCTTGGCTCTCCATGTTTCGGTACCCCCATGTGGCTCCAGGTTTTCCCAGTCAATCTCCCTGTGGTTGAAATCACCCATAACTAGTAACTTTGCTCTGCTCGAGTGAGCTCTTCTTCCCCCCTCAGCCAGTGTGTCCACCATTGCTCTGTTGCTCTCTTCATATTCCTCTCTTGGCCTCCTGCAGTTCTGTGGTGGATTATACATCACTGCAATGACTACCTTGTGCTCCCCAGACTGAAGTGTACCTACTATGGAGTCCTTTTCTCCAATCTCGTCTATGCCTCCCATTTTCTCGAATTTCCATCGGTTTTTTACGAGCAGTGCAACCCTTCCTCCCCCTCTGCCCCTTCTATCTTTCCTCGTGTGTGTGTGTGTGTGTGTGTGTGTGTGTGTGTGTGTGTGTGTGTGTGTGTTGTGTGTGTGTGTTTTATGGTATGAATGCTTGGCAGGCAAGGCAAGTAAGCGTACGTGTTTGGGCTTAATTAAATCTGAGGAAACGATATCAGCTAGGTAAGTGTGAAACTGCAAAAGTGTAAGTACTCGCCTAGTTGTGGTTGCAAGGGTCGAGTCACAGCTCCTGGCCCCGCCTCTTCACTGGTCGCTACCAGTGAAGAGGCGACCAGTGTACCCATCTATTTATAGTTGCAGGGGTCGACTCACAGCTCTTGGCCTCGTGTGTGTGTGGTGATAAATACCTCATCTTGACTTGTACAATTGCTACCTGTTGTCAACCGCTTCATATATTATCTACAATACCCACAGACATCAGTTCTCTCCTCTCCCCCCCCCCCCTGGTAAGGTGTATGTGGTGGCAGGTGATGGAGGGCGGGCAGCGAGGCTCATCCAGGTGACGGTGGCCACAGGAGAGGTGAAGGGGGTGAGTGAGGTGGGTGAGGCAGTCATCCATCCTGGCTACATCAGTCATCCCTCACACATCCGTTTTCCCACTACTCACGATGACTTTGCTTATGGATATCTCTACCTGCCTAAAGTAAGTATACTTGTTACTTTTGTGGGGAAACGCTAAATTTGTAAAGGTTATGCGGCGCCGGGTAATAGGGGATAGTGAGGTTTTGGCTCAAGAATAGGGAGGGTGAACTGCACTTTGAGATCATGAACTCTAGATAGTATCCAAGAACCCTCTTGAGGGTTCAGGAAGCTCCTGGGGAATGGGAGGTAGTCAGGTTTGATCCAAGAAACAAAAGTAGCTCCAATTCCCTGGATCAAGGCGCACCATCCCTACGAGGAAGAAGTCCAACTATTCTCCCATTTTCTTTTATGGCCCCCTCAAGGGGGGTTCCTTGATGCTGGAAGGGGGTCTTGAGCTAGAAAATTGGATCTGTGTTCCAAAATCTTGAATCGAGCCTGAATGCCCCACAGGCGCTGTATAATCCCTATGGGTTTAGCCTTCCCCATGATAATTGTTCCATATCACGGGATATATACATTGAGAGGTGTATGTCTTTAAACGTTTTTGCTGAGAGTTTAATTCCCCTTTCATAGATTAAAGTATTCTTGACCGACCCTTGTGTAATAGACTTCAAATTATTAAATAATAATATTCATTTGCATGTACAGAGCAATTATTTATAATTACCGAGATGCCTGCAGGGACCTCGGGGGAATTAAGAGGAATCTATTGACGTTAAGAATTTTATGGGGATTTTACTTGATACTGGCTACTTTAACTGGCGAAATCAGCGACACAATGTTAAGATGATCACAGAAGTTTGTGAGCCTCGAACCTAAGTCGGGCGAATATTAAAACTGGCAGGCCGGTGTGTTAAACCACCGGCCCATGCTAGGCCGGCATGGTCCAGCGGTTACTCACACTGGCTTGCCAGTTTTAGGACGCGTTTTGCGATTTAAAATACCATTGATGTATTGAGTGTCTATATCAACTGTTTGTTGCTTGTTATCATTGGTTTTATCGTTTCGCAACAATTTTTTTAATGGCTACCCAGCGATGGACCTAAATTTTTGGGGTCCTGAAGCTTGAACTGTTATGAGTCACCCTCACAACCAACAACAGCTAGGCCTACAACAGCTAGGCCTACATGATACTTCAGTAACCTTATAATTTTGATTTTGTACTGAATAACACTATATTATTATTAAAAAAAAAAAACTTGTACAGTAGACCTAAAATTAAGTAATGTGGACTTGGTCGCTTTTGGGGCCCTTCCGAGATTAGGGGCCCTGAAACTTGACCTTCACTACCGTCACAGTAGATCCGTCCCTGGACCTACCAGATCAGAGCGCTACGTAAATATCACTACTGCACCAACAGAATAAGGACTTCCGCGCTCCGGAGGGCACCAAGCCGCCGCTGCTGGTGCGAGTTCACGGGGGTCCCACAGGGGAGACCTTCCCTATACTTCATCTCACCTACCAGTTCTTCACTTCAAGGGGCTTCGCTCTCCTTGACCTCAACTACCGGGGCAGCACCGGCTATGGCACACAATACCGCAACAAACTCAATGGAAAGTAAGGAATTCTATTTTTTTTTTCACAGACTTAATGGGCAAAAGATTTTATGCTAATTTAAATTACAGGCTAGAGCTGTTATCTTCCCTCGGCTTAATTTACAGGCTAGAGCTGTTATCTTTCCTCAGCTTAATTTACAGGCTAGAGCTCTTATCTTTCCTAAGCTTAATGTACAGGCTAAGAGCTGTTATCTTCCCTCAGCTTAATTTACCGGCTAGAGCTGTTATCTTTCCTCAGCTTAATTTACCGGCTAGAGCTGTTATCTTCCCTCAGCTTAATTTACCGGCTAAGAGCTGTTATCTTTCCTCAGCTTAATTTACCGGCTAAGAGCTGTTATCTTTCCTCAGCTTAATTTACCGGCTAAGAGCTGTTATCTTTCCTCAGCTTAATTTACCGGCTAAGAGCTGTTATCTTTCCTAAGCTTAATTTACGGGCTAAGAGCTGTTATCTTCCCTCAGCTTAATTTACCGGCTAGAGCTGTTATCTTTCCTCGGCTTAATTTACAGGCTAGAGCTGTTATCTTTCCTCGGCTTAATTTACAGGCTAAGAGCCGTTATCTTTCCTCAGCTTAATTTACCGGCTAGAGCTGTTATCTTTCCTCGGCTTAATTTACAGGCTAGAGCTGTTATCTTTCCTCTGCTTAATTTACAGGCTAAGAGCCGTTATCTTTCCTCAGCTTAATTTACCGGCTAGAGCTGTTATCTTTCCTAAGCTTAATTTACAGGCTAAGAGCTGTTATCTTCCCTCAGCTCACTTTACCTAAGCTCAATTTACAAGCCCAAAGCTCTCATTCTCTCTCAATGCCTAGCTCACTTCAAAGCCCAACCCCAGGATGACATTAACAGCCGATTAATTACAGTGTACTTAATTGCCACTAGCTTAACAAGAGCATCAGATCTGACAGACTTATCTATGTACCTCAAGCCCGGGAATCGAACTCTGGATCTTTCAGGTGTATGCCTCACTCAACTTCTGCTATATGTAGCTATTGAAAATAAAAAAAAAACATTTGATTGTACAGTGCACCTTGCAATTGACACATTGTTATTATATAATGAAAGCCGTGTGGGTTACACAGGACGACTTGGCTGACCTCAAGGTTATAAGGGCCCTGACCACCTCCAGGTGGAATGGACTGGCTACTGACCACTTGCTAGTGAAGCATATTAGGTATTAACTTCCTACAGATGGAGTACACTCAACATTCACCTCCAGGTTAGGTATACTCAGCATTAACTACCTCCAGGTGGGGTATACCAGCATTAACTACCTCCAGGTGGGGTATACTGGATGTGGACGACGCTGTGGCAGGCGCCAACTACTTGGTGAAGGAGAATATAGTCGACGCCAGCAAGGTGTGTGTTGACGGTGGCTCTGCTGGTGGATTCACCACACTGTTGGTGCTCATGAGTGAAAATGCGCTTTTTGCAGCGGGTAAGTCCACAGTAGAACACCACAGTCTGTTATTTGTAACAAACTCGCTCTCACACAAGGCTATGTTATCCATAACCCATCCAGGTAGTGACCAAAGGAAAAGAAATTTATAGTGTATGTGTGTAATTAAATAAATGAATATATATACTCGTGTGTGCGTGTGTATATATATATATATATATATATATATATAATATATATAATATATAATAATATATATAATATATATATATATAGTTCCTTGATAATGTGAGTAGTCACGAAAGCGCTTGGAATTTCTCTATTCTTTCAGAGTGGTTGTTTTGCATATTTTGAAATCACCTGTTTACTGTGATCTTATTGCATATATAATAATATATATATATATATTATATATATATATATAATTATATATATATATATATATATATAATTATATAATGTCGTGCCGAATATGTAAAACTGGTCAATTAGCAAGAACCCATTAAAAAATTAAGACCTTTCGAAAATTTTCTCTTATACGTTTAAAGATGTATGCTTTTCATTAATGTTAATGTAAAAAATTTTAATTTTGCACCAAAAGAATCTTAGAAAACTTACCTAACCTTATTATAACAAGAACAATTTATTTTAGCCTAACCCAACTAAATATATTTTAAATACGTTTACAATAATTTAATACTAAACAAACACAATCAAATATATTTTTTTTTTGTTAGGTTCAGAATGATTTTGGCGAAATTATTGTATACACAAATTTTCACTTGTCCTATATGGCAAGATGAACGTTGCTATTTAAGCCAAGATCGCAAGTTCTGCCTATTCGGCACGACATATATTATTTATTATTATTATACACATGTTCAGTGCTGATGTTAAAGGAGACAGAATATACACCCTGAGAGGTGTGTTTCTCTCAGCGGATATATACTGAGAATTTACTTTGATCTTTTATTAGGGAAGGGTGGAAGGTTATCATGCAGCTTTAATAACCCATTAACCAGCCCACCGCCTAAAGGAGACATCATGTGTGTTGAAGATAGATTTTTCAATGTTGCCTCTTGATTCCTGTCAAAAAATTAAGCTAAAAGGCTTTTGTTTTTTCCCCTCATTTTTTTTTTTTCTAATTTGAGTCATTGTTCACTTCTTCAGATCAAACGCGATTATATCCTGAATTAATTATTTTTTCCAGTACGTAACTGGTCTAATTATCTCTTACTTGCGTTAGTATGCTTAGGCGAACCCATCCAAATCCTTACACGGAAGCCATTCAAAGCTTTCTCTGCCGCAGATGATCACTCCTTCCAGTAATTAAAACTGGAACGACTCTCAGAATGACCCAGACACACGAGCTATGTTAAGCATCGCGCCTTGTTAAATTACTCTATTATGTACTTAATTTCCAACTGCGTCTTCAGGAGCCAGTTTTTACGGGGTGTCCGACTTGGAGCTGCTGGTGAACGACACACACAAGTTTGAGAGCAGGTACATGGAGACGCTGGTCGGCAGCATCCACACGCAGAAGCATCTGTATGATGCTCGTTCGCCCATTAAAAACGCCAAGAAACTCGGGAAGCCAACCATCTTCTTTCAGGGAAGCGAAGATAAGGTGAGACGAAATTTGTGTAAGCGGAAATATACACGTATGTACACTATTAGAGGACAGAAGAGCCCGAGTTATGATTATGGCTGAGAAGAGGGAAATTGATAGGGGAGACAGGCAGAGGCTGAGAGGCTGGTCTCAGCTACACGGGGTCACATTATTATTATAATCAAAAAAGAAGCGCTAAGCCACAAGGACTATACAGCCACGGGGTCACAGCTGGAAGTTAAAAACAAAGGCGAGTCGCGGAGATGTTAGGAAATACTTCTTTAGCTTCAGAGTTACCAGGAAGTGGAATGATCTAGATAGCGAAGTGGTAGAGGCAGGATTCATGCATAGTTTTAAGAATAGGTATAAAAGGGCTCACGCAACCAGGAGCGAGCGAAATCGGTAGTGGCAAGCGGTTGGACCAGGTGCAGAGACTCGACCCCTGAAACCAAAAATAGGCACACACACACATACATACACCAAAAGTCTAAACCCGTAACCTTAATATGACAGCGAAGCAAATAGAGCAGAGATATTAGAAATACAAAAGTATTTAGAACTTGCAAAGTTTGTAAGTCATATTATCATGGGGAGCGCTAAACTCGTAGGGATTATACAGCTCCGATGGGGAATGGAAGGCTCAATATTATTACTATTATAATCAAAACTAAACATTAAACCCACAAGGGTTATACCAGGCTGCCATTCAGGCTTAGTTCAGGGAACTGGAGCTCGGATCCAATTCCTTAGATCAAGAGCCCCTGACCAGCATCAAGGAACGTCCCTTGAAGAGGACACGAGGTGAGAAAGAGGTGGCATTGGAAATTAAGAATTGAAATATATTCGCTATTCTAGCCATTCATTAAGAATTTAGACTTTAAATTATTATTCATAGGGAAGCGCTAAACCCACGAGTCATATAACACCTGTGGAATGTTAGGCATTCAGGTAACTCTCAGTATCTTGGCTCTAGAGCCTTTCACTTTCAGGTAATTCATTGACATTCAGCAGTGAATTAACATTCATTATTGTCTTTTTTTTTTCTTTTGCAGATTGTGATTCCCAGTCACTCCAAGGACATGTATGATATTGTGAAGAACAAGTGTCTTCCTTCTGCATATATCCTGTTTGAAGGTGAGACTTCATGTTATGTTCTGGGTCAGCAGGCTAAGGCGTAATGCTATGTTCCGGGTCAGCAGGCTAAGATGTAATGTTATGTTCGGGGCCAGGGAGGTCGAGCCAGCAGGCTAAGACGTAATGTTATGTTCCGAGCCAGGGAGGTCGAGCCAACAGGCTAAGACGTAATGTTATGTTCCGGGCCAGGGAGGTCGAGCCAACAGGCTAAGACGTAATGTTAATGTTCCGAGCCGGGGAGGTCCGAGCCAACAGGCTAAGACGAAATTTGTTTGTTCCGGGCCAGGGAGGCCCGAGCCAACAGGCTAAGACGTAATGTTATGTTCCGGGCCAGGGAGGTCGAGCCAACAGGCTAAGACGTAATGTTATGTTCCGGGCCAGGGAGGTCGAGCCAGCAGGCTAAGACGTAAAGTTTTTCCGGGCCAGGGAGGTCGAGCCAGCAGGCTAAGACGTAAATGTTATGTTCCGGGGCCCCAGGGAGGTCGAGCCAGCAGGCTAAACTAATGTCATATTCCGGGTCAGCAGGCTAAAATGTAATTTTTATGCTCCTGGCCATGGAGGTCAAGCCAGCAGATTTATCCATGCCTGATGAAGGAATTATTATTACAGGGGAACGCTTAATCCGTAGGGATTATACAGCGCCTGGGGGAGGGGGGGATGGAAGACATTCAAACTCAATTCAGCGAACTGTAACACAGATCCCATTTTCTAGCGGGGGGAGGGAAGGCAGTCAGATTTTTGGCAAAGGAAAAGTTAGATTTTAAATCAAAATTCTTTCACTGTCAAGAACTGATACTGTAGATCAAAAGCCCTTTACTATAAAGGCTCTCCCCTCAGTATTTATATTATTATTATAATCAAAAAGAAGCGCTAAGCCCACAAGGACTATACAGCCTTCAGTAATTGTAAATTATATTCATGCTGCAAACTAAATTATATATATACAATTATATTTATATATAATATATATAATATATATATATATATATAATATATATATAAATATGTGTGTTTTACGTAAACCCTTTAAATTTTTTTTTAAAATACAGTAGAGGTATGTTGCAGCTCCACGACCCTCGTTCATTTTGGGGACAGAGTCTGGTCTACTGCTGAGCATGTTTTCCCCTCAAAGGAGGTCCTTGATGCTGGTGTGGGACTTTATCTAATTAAGCGGCTTGTTCTCTTTCCCCCTTTCCCCAGCTCGAGCCTGATTTCCTCCCATTCCCCCAGGCTAAAATAGTGTCCCCTACGCATTGAACATCTTCCTGTAAATGTAATAATACTGCTGTGTGTAGTTACTCATTAAAGTGTGTTTAACAGTAAGCTGGCAGAGGCTTGATTTTGTACCATTACACGTATTGTGAGGAAAAGATACTCGTTGCTGAATAGTTTTATTAAACGAGGAAAACATTTTGCTGTGTCGAGAATAATAGTGAACTGATGAAGCTCTATGCTGAGCCAAACGATGTCTTTACAAAACCTCATTCCGCAGCTATTTTTTTTTTCTTCAGTCATCAGAATACCACTGGGATAGACACACACGGGTTTATCTCATTCTACTAGTATATGTTTCTTTTGGTTTTCCGCAGGTGAGGCTCACGGGTTTATCAAACCAGAGAACATCAAGTCTTCACTGGTGGATATTTTGTATTTCTTCCTCAAGTGTAGACTTCACATTAGCTGACGTCACTTCAGATGTAAGTAAAGTGGGCTGTTCTCGTGTTTGGGGAAGCAGTAAACACTGAAGGGTCAGTACAGTGCTTGTGGAATGAGGGTAAACAGTTTTGATCGGAGATTGGAGTTATGCTTGATCTAAGTAATCACAAGTGTGATCATGGAGTGTGTTAGGTGAAGGGAAAGTTATCATGGTTAGAGAAAGGGTAGGGCAACTCCAAATAGTTGGAACAAGAGCCCTTCCCTGGAGTACAGGACCCCCCCCCCCCCAACATGAAGGAAGGAGACACACGACAGAATTGCTGGTACATGTCTGGATGGGATTATTACTGGTACTTTTGAGTGACATTTAAATTAGATAAAATTCTCCATGGATTTTAAAAGCATTTGTGTATTTTCCACATTAAATTTACCATCGCAGACATCCAGAAATTATACATTCGTGGGAAAGCGCTAAACCTGCAGGGGTTGTATATAACCTGGGGGAATGAGAGTTAAGTTTAGCCAAGGTAGTAAACACCAGATCTAGTTCCTTGGATCAAGATCATCTCACGGGCGTCAAAGCTCCCTCGAAGGGTCCCCAATTATTATTATAATCAAGGGGGAAGCGCTAAACCCGGAGGATTATACAGCGCCTGGGGGGGGGGATGTGGAAGGCATTCAGGCTTAATTCGGGGAACTGGAGCACAGATCCAATTCCCTAAATCAAGAGCCCCTCACCAACATCAAGGAACCTTCCTTGAGGGGAAAGGTCCCCAATTAAGTGATGGTTATTAATGAGTGGGGAGTGCTAAACACACAAGGGTCATACAGTCCCTAGATTATTATAATCAAGGGGAAACGCTAAACCCGTAGTATTATACAGCGCCTGTGGGGGGAATGGAAGGTATTCAGGGAACTGGAGCACAGATCCAGTTTCCTAGATCAAGAGCCCCTCACCAGCATCAAGGAACCTTCCTTGAGGGGCACAGTCCCTAGAGAATAGGAATTAATCCTGCTTAATCCATAGGCGAGGGATACTTCCTAATTTCTTGGTTCAAGAATTCATCAGGTAGGTATAAGGTTTGTCAGGAAACTGGACAAGTGTTCCCTGACGTGGGTCTTAGTCATCATATGACTAAGCTGGAGCTTTTGGTCATGTGATCAAAGCCTTCCACTGGCTTACCTCTCCACCCTTTAAAACTCATGGTTTTGTGTATAACCATTTCATACGTGAGAACCAAGATACTCCCTTTGAAAGCCCTAAAATGCTATGGACAAATTTCAGTATTTATAATTTTTATTCATTAATTTTCATGATTGTTGTCCTTGATATCCTGTTCATTAATTTGAATACAGTGAATACATTTATTACGTGTAATTAAAAATAGCTGAAGTAATTTTAACTATTGATGAAATTCTGTCACAAGTTCACATTTAAAAATTGCCTTTTTTTTCCAGTTGGTTATTGACAACCTGGAGTCATGGAAGGAGAAACACCACTGAAGTGAGCAGTTATTCTTTTCCTATATAAAAGTTCTATACCCGATAGGGAATAAAGTATGATCCAATTCCTCGTATAAAGAATCCTTCATCAGTCACGGCTTCCCCTCCTTGACAGGTATACACACTATTTTAATAACAATGTTCTAAACTCGTACAAGTCATGGAGTGCTGCTGAGAGAGGTAATGAGTCGACAAGTGAAGGCAGTGTGTCATGGTAGTTACAGTAACATACTAATTAACCGAGTTACATTATTATAATCAAGGGGGAAGCGCTAAACACGGAGGATTATACAGCGCCTGGATGGGGGATGTGGAAGGCATTCAGGTTTAATTCGGGGAACTGGAGCACAGATCCAATTCCCTAAATCAAGAGCCCCTCGCCAATATCAAGGAACCTTCCTTGAGGGGAACCGAGTTACAGGAAGTGTTTAAAGCGAGACTTAAGTGGAGCTTGGGTTAGTATATCAGGCAATGATTATATAATTATCATTAAGTTGGTGGGGGAAGCCCTAAATCTGTAGGGGTCCTACAGCAGGTGCTGTAGGACCCCTACTGTCAGTGTCTACACAATCCCATGTGATCATTGTAAAGAAATGTACAATAAAATTGAATGAATAAAAAGGACATGTGTACTTCAGGAGGATACTGATGGACACGTTGCTAAAACACTAATTCTCAACCACCATTGTTCACAAGCCTCAGTTATAGCAACCAAGATTGTCACAAATCAAATAACCAAAGTTCTTCCCACCACAATGGTGGGATGTCTGCTGCAGTAAACTTTATCAAGAGTCTTTACTATATTATTATTTACCCTTATGCACACTTGTAGTGACCAAGATCCCAGAACCTAAAAGTTTTCTAATATACAAACCCTACTGATTGCTGGCATCTTAAAAACCTTCGTGTCCATCCTGACGAGGTATGAATTTAGCAGTATTCTTGCTAATAATTTTAATGGTGCTAATAATGATTTTGAGTTTTCCCTCTTAATTTTGCTGAATTTCTTTGTGGTCTTGGATGATGCACAAATGAATCTGGTAAAAAAAAAATTGAACATTTAAATAGTGTTTACTAATATATTTTAAAATACATAATCAAATTGGAGTTCTCTCCACTTTTTAAAACTCGGTATATACAACAATCAAAGATTTTTAAATAAATGTTTAAGCCAGCCACCAATAACTTTCTCAGTTTTTTAATTCATCATCTTTTATGTTTTAAAGTTAACAAATACTGTACTTTTCCAATATGTTGCAAATCTTTCTCTAACAACTTTCTTGAAAATTATTAAACTTTTTCTTTGAGAGAAAGAACCTACATTATTTTACACGTTTTTTCTTAACTCTCATACTTTTCTTGGGTCACTAGCTGGGAAGGCATTTTTAGTGAACCTTAAAGACCCACTTTTTCCTTAACATTAGTCACTTAATAAGAAAATAAGAGGCTGCGTCCATCATCTGATGTGTGGACAATATATTTTAATGTATTATGATGGTTATTTTCAAGCAGCAGGAAGTTATCTCTGGAAGTCTCATCACAGTTATCAGTGACTACTCTGCTCCTTACTTGGTTTGGCTGCAGTCGAGGCTGTGAGGAGCCTCAGTTTTCACAGACTCGGGCTAGCCGTTCAGACTTACACAGTCTGTATTGTTACTCTGTAGAAGGTTATACCTGGAAATACAGCGAGAGATCACCAAAGAAAAGTATGAATGTGGGACAATAACAAAAATATATAAAATATGAAGAGCAGAGAGCTTATTGAAATTTAAATGAAGATTAATACTAGGGTATCTTTATCGAGGAGATATCTTAACAATGAAGATATCTAAGTCTTAGTCTTAATTCATTTACTTGTCAGTTCTGAAAACCACTGGTATAATAATTATTGAAGCTTACAACTCTGAGTTAAAAATCTAATCTCACATCTTTGTGGAATGATATATTTATATGCCATTCTTATAATAATCATTATAAAAATAAAGAATAAAAATATACTCTATAAACATGCTTTAAAATATATCTTAGGAAAAAAACAGACCTAAAAACTATACATGTAACTTTTTTTAATACTATGTACAAGTGAAAATCACATGTATAATCAGAGTAAATGTATTAAGAAAAATTACCAAAATAAAAAAGAGAATACCAATGAAAAGACACTCATTAATACTAAAACATGAAACCAGTTACTCGTTAAACCTAATATTCTTCCGTATTTGAGATATGAAGTATTTGTCAGTTGACTTCTGACCCCTACAAAGATTTTATATCGTGATTTACTTCCTTCTGTTTAATGAATCAGAAAGTTGAGACAACCTGTGGCTAATTTTTATATTTACATCAGGATAATTTTTAAATGTTTTTGTTAGAAATTCACAATATTAACCAAGTGCTTGCACTTTGAAAAGCTACTAACAAGGCTAAAAGTTTAATGTGAGAAATGAAAAACTGGCAAACACAAAATTTTAAATACAGTAGACTGTCATTTAACATGGTAGTTACGTTCCTGAAAATGCCGCTTTAGGTAAAACTGTGTTAGATGAACTAAAAAACTTATGGGTAAAATAGGGTTACATTCCTGGGAGCCCCCCAAAAAGCCAAAACCACCTTTTTTAGACCATAAGATCTTACAAAAAATAAAAGTGCAATGTAATTTTAGTTCATTGTCATGAAATAATACTGCTTAAGACTACAAATGCAATAGAAATAATAGTATTTACCTTAAATTGTGGGTAATGGTGTTTGTGGATGATTGTAAAGAGTGGATATGCATGTTGTGGACCTACTGGGCTGAGGTGGATGGTTGTCGGCAGAAGTGGATGGTAGAGGTTCTGGTACTAAAGTCGATGGTTGTATTGGAGTGTGCATAAATTATGTAATGGATCTCTGGGCTCTTTTTTTTCCCTGCAGTACATTATACAGCTGATGGTAAGGCATCATCAGCTGGTCTGGACCCCATTTCAAAACACTGCTTCTAGATTTATCATGGTCCTCTTCAGTGAAAGAAGTCTGTAACTTTACCAATATTATGGAACTACTCACATAAATGCTAGTGTTAACTATTTTTCTTCAGGTTCTTCATCGTCTTCTGTTATCTGCCTCCCTTGTATCTGTGCATCGAGTTCTGCCAACATTTCCTCTGGACTCCTGTCTTCATGATCATCAAAGAGCTCATTCACATCTTCATTCATATCTTCAGACCCATCACCTGGTAATCTCCTTACCAGCTGAACAATTTCCTGAACCTGATTCTCAAGCAAGGGAAAACCAGTCAAAGAATTAACTACAGAAGGCCATGACTTTCCCCAGCCTGCATTTAATGTTGATTGGGGCACTTCATTCCATGCAATTCTAGCATAGATGGCATAAGCAATGTTAAATTTATTCCAGAAGCTTGGTACTGCCAAGTTGGAGTCAAGAGTCCATTGATGCAACTAGTTTTTTCATAACTTTTTTTTTTTGTGTAGTTACATTTAAATGACTTAACTCCCTGATCCAGTAGTTGAATTAGGGATGTTGTAGTTGGAGGTAAAAGTACAACTTTTACATGTGGCGTCACATCCAGCAAAGCTTGTGGAGGAGTACGAGAATTATCAAGAATGAAAAGAGCTTGAATGCAAAGTTCTTGCTGTGCAGGTAAAACTTGACTTCAGGAATAAAGCGATGCTTAAACCAGTCAAATATTTCCTGTCATCCATGCTGACATCCATAACTGGACCACTACAGTGGTCCAGTTATTTTAACAGGTAATTCAGATGGTGTTCCTTTAAAAGTGTATGTATATTTACTTTCACCACTACTAGGGCAGTTCATTTAGAAGTGGCTCAGGACTTGTCTGCAGAACAGTTTATACAGCTGTATCAGAAATTTGCTGCTAGGAGATCCTGTACAAGATTAATAATTTCAGATGCCACTAGTTTTGTAACGAGTGCCCAATATTTGATGGAATTAAATGAGAATAATGATGTACAATCTGTTAACCCAGTGAGAATGTGTCTGGAAATTTGTTACGTACAGTAAAAGTTTCTACAGAAGATGCTTCACAGGAAAAGAATTAGCTTGAAGGAATTCTGTACTGTATTAGTGTAGGCGGAAAATCGTATAAATAATTGTCCCCTCTCTCATATATTAGCGATACTCCAGATGTAGATATATTAAGACCTTCTCACTTAATATGTGGACAAAAATTTGAAGCTGCATCTATTTATAGAGATAAACCTGGAGAAATTGATGAAGATTATAATAATGTAGAATTGTTAAGTAATAAATTTAATACAAATAAAGTACAGTGGATCCCAGCCTAACAAACGCATCGCATAACGTTAAATCTGCCTTACGAAGCATTTGAATGCAAAAATTTTGCACCGCCTAACGATAAAAAACTCAAAACTCGCCCAACGTGATTCGTCTGGGACATGTCCCACATGTGGCCTCAGCTGCCCCATGGGTACCAGTGTTTACAAGCCAGCCAGTGCGGTCACATCCACGCATACATTCGGTACATTTCACCTTATCCCAGTGTTTTTTGTGCTTGTAACTGCAAAATAAGTCACCATGGGCCCCAAGAAAGCTTCTAGTGCCAACCCTGTGGTAAAAAGGGTGAGAATTATCCTACTTCAAAGATTAAAGAAATGTGTGCAAAGTGGGTTGAACTGCAAACCTTTATGGATGAAAGTCACCCTAACACAGCTACTGCAAGCCATGTTGGCAACCTGTACAATGTTGTGGCCCATTTTAGGCAAATCTTAAAGAAACGGCAGGTACAGACCTCTGTGGACAGATTTGTTGTGCGACAGAGGTCCAGTGACTCAAGCTGGTCCTAGTGGCATTAAAAGAAGAAGGGAAGTAACCCCAAAAAGGACTTGCTACCTCAAGTCCTAATGGAAGGGGATTCTCCTTCTAAACAATAACTTCCACAATCTCCCCTCCTCCCATCCCATCAATCATCACCAGATCTTCAATAAAGGTAAATGTCATGTATTCTTAACTTAGTAGAGTAGTAACTGTGCATGTCTTTTTCAGTTTGTGTGTATTAAAATTAATATTTCACGTGGTAAAATTTTTTTTTCATACTTTGGGGTGTCAGGAACAGATTAATTTGATTTCCATTATTTCTTATTGGGGGAAATTAATTCCGCTAACGATAATATCGGCCAAAGATGAGCTCTCAGAAGCGGATTAATAATGTTAGACGGGGGTCCACTGTAATTAATCATTGGTCCAATATGTGCACCCAACATCTTGCTCCTGGGGGATTTCAACTTAAGGCATCTAAAATGGAGGAATATAGCAAATAATATTGTTGCAGTAATAACACCAGGAGGCAGCTCTGATGAAACCTCACACTCACACGAGCTTTTAAATCTCTGCACAAAATTCAATTTAAACCAGCAAATAATAGAGCCTACTAGACTGGAGAATACACTAGACCTCATCTTCACTAACAATGATGATCTGATAAGAAATGTCACCATATCAAAAACAATATACTCAGATCACAACATAATTGAGGTTCAGACATGTATGCGCGGAGCCCCAGACCGACATAATGAGATTAGTCACGATGGAGCATTCACCAAATTCAACTTCAATAACAAAAACAAGTGGGACCAAGTAAACCAAGTCCTCACCGATATAAGCTGGGAAGATATACTAAGCAACACAGACCCCAACTTATGCCTAGAACAGATTAACTTGGTGACACTCGATGTATGCACAAGGCTTATTCCTCTAAGAAAAAGGAGGAGTAGATGTAAAATAGAAAGAGACAGGCGCTCCCTTTACAGGCGAT